ATAGAGATAGTCCTTGATTAATGACAGCAATGGGCACTGAAATTTCTGTTATTAAGTTATGTGGTCAAAAAAGCACAATGTGACATGACCATGCAGCTTAGTGACAGAAATTTTGGCGCTTCTGCCTGAATGAATCACTGTTGAACATTAAATAAGTATGTCACATGGTCACCCTTTGTGACCTCCTACCTGCTTCCCCATTGACTAAAATATAGCAACAACTAAACAGCACAAAAATAATACATTAAACACTGTCTTTGCTTCTTAACTAATGGTTCTCCTTTTTTTCTTTTTGCAGTTCCAATATGGTAATTCTAGTTAAATGAAAATAATAGTTGAAATGCTGTGATTAAGGTATAGCTCAAGGACAAGAAGCTTCGGGTTCAAATTCCCCATTCTTCTCATTTGCTGACTTCACGCTAGTTAAAGAAAAGAGAGCTATGTACTATATTTCAAGAAGGGCAGAATATAAATCTAACAAATAAATTAATATACAATATGTATACTATCAAACATTTAAATATAACGTGAGAGCACAACGGTGAATGAAGAAATTAAGACAAAAGTTTACTTTTTTCCTCTCTGTTATAATCTTATGAAAATTAAACCCTCTGATTCCTATTAGCCACAGATGAAAACCTGTGGCTAATGAAGCAGGTATAAAACATTTGCACTGAAATGATGGTAGTTGAGGAAACATTTAATTTTATCTTCCTGTCCCTGTAGCAACTACTGAAAAATAGCCACAACAAAAATGGCTTATGCAAAATTAATGTTTTATCTGTCTGTATCTCAATGAAAGTATTCAAAAGTATTTAAGCTTAACAATTTATGTTCATATTTGAATGCACATATTTTGCGTTACATGCCAGTAGCCTCCTACACTTTTTTTTCTCCAAAAGAAAGACTATTGTTCTAAAAGAAGAAAGATGAATCATAGAAAAGCCAAAAGGAACTAAGAAGCATGACTCAGTCTCCTTAATGGGACAGCTGCTGTAATAATATTTGACTGGTAATTGTCAAGGATCAAAACTACATAGGGGCTAAAGGTTGTTTTGGCAATATGAGGAATATGAGGAATGTGCCACAAGATGTGCTACTCAGAAAAAGTTTCTGTAATTTATATGTTTTATAAATGTAAAGGCCTCCCATTCAAATCTCAAACCAGACTTCCATCCTATCAGTCTATAGTTCTTTATCCATTTCATACAAAGATTTGTGTATCAACTCTTTCTTTTAAACAGATATATACTGCTTACTTGTAAACTTCATAAACAGATACCTCAATAGTACAAAAAACAGTTTTAGTGTACTGATAGTATATTGTATAGCATCATACATTTCTTATAATGGGCCTTATTTTGCTACTATCAAAAGCTATAAGGCCAATTAGCTGTTGTTGTTTTTTAAACTATTTTGAGGTTTGCTGTTTAGTTTTTCCAACCTAAGTACTACAGAATTAATCATTAATGTGGAAAACGGACTCTTAAGAAATTGCATTATGACATTCAGAGATAATGGTTACTTCACCTAACACATGCTAAGCTAGGGATTTTCAAACAGTGGACCCCAAATCCTTACAAAATCATAATTTGAGAAGGTTGTTGGGTTTGGGGGCAACTTGCACATATGAGTCTCTGCCATAACTTATCCCTGCTTTGCCTACACAAGTCAATAGCTAGATTACCCAAGAAAAGCCAACAGCAAGTATTGACAGTTTGCTTGCATAAGGGAAATAATGAGCAAAGTCAGAAGTATGGTTGGGCAGGCCTCCAGTTTTATACTTGCAACCTAACTTGGATCACTATCTCACCTGTTCTTGTTTTCTAGACAATCCCAAAACTGGCTTGTTAAAACAAAACACACAGTAGTGTTTGCAGTAAGTACTGACAGAGCTTCGGTTTTATGTTTGAGTATGGCTTGCTTATACAAAGCTCTATTTCTGTCCAAAATTGATCTTGAAGTCCTTACATGTAGTCCTTGACTTACAACCATTTACAGTGGGGCTGAAAAAAGGGACTTATGATAGTTCTTGTACTTACAATCATCACAATGATCTCCTGGTCATGTGGCTAAAATCTGAGTGCTTGGCAATTGGCATGCATTTATTATGACAGCTACAACCTCCCCAGCTGGCTTCCAATAAGAAAAGTCAATGGGGAAAACCAATTTCACTTAATGACAGCAACAAAAAAGGTTGTAAAATCGAGCATGGCTTATTTAATGACCATATCATTTAGTGATGGAAATTCCAGTCCCAACTGTGATTGACATTTGAATTTGTTTTCAGCACAGGGGATGGCTGCCCAGGACCAAGAATCATGCAAAGCAAGCTTCTTGGCCCAGAAGCTTCCTTTCCAGTATCTTGCTGCATCTGCCAGCAACTGCTGCTTAATATAACTTTTTTTTTCCTATTGGGGAACTGGTCCTGGCTCAACTGACAAGTGAAGGAATATGATAAATCCATACATATTTGCATGAATATATAGACACTTTTATCAGGGGTGGGATTCTATAGGTTCGCACCTATTCACTAGAACTGGTTGTTAACATTCTAACCAGTTCGGAGAACCAGCTGTTAGAAGAAATTACTGGCCTAATCCTGTAAGGAAGGCAGGAAGTAAACATTCTGGTGTTGTTTACAGAAACTGCCTCTTGAGTAATCCTTATTATATTCTTGGCAGGACTAGACTTCCTATCTCAGGAACTTCTCTGGAGTTATTTTTCCTCCTTTGCTGGTACTTTGCTTGTGTGGAGTGACCATTCAAAGTTACAATGGCACTGAAAAAAGTGACATGACCATTTTTCACACTTACAACTGTTGCAGCATCCCCACAGTCATGATAGGCGAGGTGAGGAAATGCGTGCCTCAATGTGAGTGATGTTGACTTGGCCACATCCAGCCAGTCACATGACCACCAAGCCACACCCACCAACTAAGCCACACCCACAGAACTGGTTGTTAAAAAATTTGAATCCCATCCCTGACTTTTATGTATGAGAGAATATAAGAAAAATATGTTATCTTTGCTGAATGAAGAATGAATATTTGAAGTCCTATTCAAAAGATAAAGGTTTCCCCTGTCCAGTTATGTCCAGGTCTAGAGGACGGTACTCATCTCCATTTCTTAGCCGAGGGAGCCAGTGTTGTCCAAAGACATTTCCATGGGCATGTGGCCAGCATAACTATTTGCCAAGCCGCATGGAATCCTGTTACCATCCCACAAAGTGGTATATATTTATCTATTCGCATTTGCATACTTTCAAAATGCTACATGGGAAGAAGATCGGGCAAGAAATGGGAACCCACTCAGGAACCTGGTTGTCAGCTTTCCAGCTGACAAGCTCAGTGTACTTTACCGCTGAGCTATTGCATCCCTATTCAATAGCAATAGCACTTAGGCTTATATACTGCTTCACATATAATGCTTTTACAGCCCTCTCTAAGCGGTTTACAGACTCACCATATTGCCCCCAGCAATCTGGGTCCTCATTTTACCAACCTCAGAAGGATGGAAGACTGACTCAACCCTGAGCTTGGTGAGATTTGAACTGCCAAATTGCAGGTAGCCGGCAGTCAATAGATGTAGCCTGCAATACTGCACTCTAACCACTGCACCACTGCAATTCTTTATCTTAAAAGCCTTTTTCTTTAACACCTACATTGATAAATGTTTTAAATAAACACGTGCCTGAGAGGGTTTTTTTTCCTTGACAGAAGGTCATTATATAAATATGGTATTGGTATCCTCTTGATTAGGCATGGAATATTATGATTTAAGATTTATTAGATATAGCAGAAGAACTACTACAAAAAGTTTTCTTACTTTTTTGTTTATGAACCAAATAGTAATCATATTTGAACAGGAATCATAACTGATTTATTTAAAGTGTAGTGATGTGTTAATAACTGTCTTCTTGAAAATGGTAAATATATATATAATGTTCAGTTAGAAAAGAGCCCCAGATTCACATGTCACAACAGATATTACCCCTGTGGAGTTTAATCTGGTGCAAGTTGAATCCAACTGAAATAAAAGTAGATGAATGAGTGCCAGTTCCATGGCACATAGTACTCTTTTTGTCAGAAAGGAGGTCCAACATGTGACCACCTTTCTATAACAAGCAAATTTTGCAGTGCTGAGTTGCTAGTTTATGGTATAGTTAAAGACTGGAAAGCTGATGGCAGAAAACAATACTAAATTTTCTGCAGACCATTACATTGTTGCTACAATCTTAAACACTCTTACTAGAGAGTCAAATGTTACCAAGTATTTAGGGCACCTGGACTGCCTAAACTAAATTACCAGAGGGCAACAAAAAGTTAAGGGTTCTGTGGCTATTTTTCACTGCCCCATAGTGGCAGTCTAAATAGTAGCAGTTCAAGTCAGGTACTCCTAACTTACTGCTAAACATCCATAGGATACTGTATGACTTGCTTTTTTATTCATAAATTTTTCTTAAAATACTTTTTACAAACGTTTTCATTGGTATACTTCACATGGTTTATTTATATTTAACTGTCTTTTTAAAATCATATCTGGACATATTAAATATCCATAATGGTGTTCTGTCTGAAAGTTGGATTTAGGCTACTTGCAAATTCCACTTTCAAGCATGGGACTCTCCAGTGTTTCAGCTTGGCCTTCCTTACAGGATTTGTCCCCAACAATTCTTATCATGAGGGAAAGGACCTTCCAATAGATGGATTTTTGGACTTGGGTAAAAATGATATATTTTTAAGTACTGATATTGATCCCACCTTAAAAAAATAGTGGTTAAAAAGTATACATTTAAACATTTCAGAAAATTTAGAGTTGAATATAATGTTCTAAATAATACTACAGAAAACTTCTTTAAACACACTGAATACTGCCCCCATGTTTAGAGAGAAAATAATTTCAGCCACCTAAGAAAAATCAAATACTCCTTTGAAGAGTAAAGACAATATAATTGGAAGAAACAAAGGCAAGCAAAAGAATATTTCTGTATACTATTACCTGGTGAATCATTTAGACTGAAGGCAATTCGTATCCGTTTATCAGCAGGTACCCTTGCTGTGGTGATCATGTGGGCACTCGAACCTATGCGTCTAGTTGTATGTTTCACCTAGAGAATAAAATAGCAATTTTTTATAGGTCATGCAAATTCATTATTGGTGCATTTCAGATATGTTCCTATAACATGCTTTAAATTATGTTCAACTAGCGATTTCTATCTAGATTTTTCAACAATTTCAGATGCTGTCTCAGCATATGATTTTCTTTTCAAGAATGAAATTATGCCCCAATAATATCGTGTTATATTCAAATGCAAAATAGAGAGATTTGAAAATGCAGAAAAGGTTTGCTTTGATAACAGAGGGTCTATTTAAATATTTAACATGCTCTACAGAAACGCAGAGCAAATTATAGAATTGTGCTATGTGTGATGATCATGAGCAAGTTTGATTGGCTTATACAAGTCTGTCCCTTTCTCCCACAATGATCTCTGGTATTATTATTTTTTCACAAAATTAAAGACAGATGAATCAGATTTTTTTCTAGATTAGCCTATCATTAGACAGAATAAAGCAGTTGTCTCCAGCAACTGTTAATTAGACTGCTGTATCAAGTGACAGTGGCAGATATAATTCTAATGCTAGTATTTGAATTAAATGGAAGTGCTGATCTCATCAAATTCTGTGAATTATGCTTTTTAAATTTTTGGTCTTCTGTTAATGAATATGTATTCATATATTCTTTAAAAAAAAAGACTGAATCATTGTGCTGATGCAGTTGACTTGTTTTAACTTTGAACTCTACTATGGAAGCAAAGATTAAAACAAACCACCATAGTAAGTTTAGCACAAAGTGTAATCTGAGTCAATGAATGCAATCTAGCAGCTGTTAAACTGACTTTCACCATAGAATGTGGTAGAATCAAGGGCAGAATGGAGATGGGCAACATGGATGTTATTCACGTAGCTTTTTCTTACCTTACGTCTTTTGAGGGAGTGACTTTCTATTTGCATAATGTTCCCAAAAGGGAATAGTATTATGGGCATGCATGTAAATAGATGCAACTATAATAGATAACAAACTGCATGAGAACAACTAACTTGTATTAATTCTGAATGATAGGAGCTTGCTAAACAAAATGCTTATGACATTTCAAATCTACAATATACTATGCAGACAGCTAGCATAGCTTTTCTAGAACACCATTCCAAAAACGAGGTTACTAGGTTAAGCTGATCTGTGGATAAGCCGTGATCACAGCCTTTAATTCCTATGTAAATTATGCGCTTTCATTGTGCTTTATCATGGTTACTTTAGTACAAGATGTAGGAAACCACAGAATAATTCTCATGAGATGAAAACACATCCTTTTAAATAAAAATTAATCTGAAAAAAAGTTACCAAATCCTTCTGATTTGGAACTACCATAAACTAACACTACTTTTTATGCAATATCAGTAGGGTTAATTATAATGTATATGCCAACAGTGACTTATAATAAAAAAATAACTCTTCTTCCTAACTCCTAAGTGGAGCTACATTTTTTATTTTAACTGATGCTGGACGGAGTCATGGGGAAGCTTATAGATAATCCTCGACTTATGATTGATTAACAATGGTTCAGTGTTACAGCAGCCTTGAAAAAAAGGATTTACCACCTGTACTTTCATTTATGACTGTCATATCATCCCATGTTCATATGATCGCAGTTGGGGCGCTTGGCAACTAGCTTGCATTTATGACCAGTTGCAGCATCCTGTGCTCAAGTGATCACAATATGCAACTTTTTTGTTGATTTCCAGGGGAAAAAAAACACCAGTGGAGAAGTTGGATTCATGTAATGACTATGTGATTTGCTTCATGACGTTTGTAAAAGTTGTCATAAATTGGGTCAGATTTACAACCACAACAAGTTACAATGGGAATTATGGTGTGAGAGAGAGAACACACCTGGTAAATGACTTTTTGACTGGCATCACAAGAAATTGACTATCTGCAACTAAAGCTTTTCCTGCACAGGTACTTTCAACTGATACTCATTCCTGGCTACACTGTCACAAAATGAGTGGTAAGCCATATGTTGATCCTTACAGATAACCATAGTTCTTGATAGTTCTAAAAAAAAGTCCAGTCTAAGTATCTCCTTGTTCTCCCTCCACAGGCATATCCTTGAAAACAGATGGGCAGGTGCCCAGCTATTCTTTCTCCACAATCCACTTTCCCAGACTTCTATTTTTAAAAGAAAATTATTTAGCTTGGTCACAGGTGATGAAGAGAAAACCTATAGAGAATATTTTGCCTGCCCTCTCTCAATTCAACAGATTTCTGCAAAACACAAAACAAAATACAACTGGAAACAATGGAGGTAGGAAAATCTCTAATACTCTATCATTTACCCACTCATCATATTGTAATTTTATTTTGCAATTGGTAATTGTAAAGTGATGGCAGTACACTCTTCCAGTTTTAATTTCTAAACAAAATTTAGTCCAGTCAGACAGATGGAGAGAGATAAATTGTATATGAAACTGAGTGAGTTTATATTGAAGCCTTTACATCATATCTGATGCTTTGATATCCAGACTGGTCTGTCACATCTACTTATTTTACAAAACTATATTCTGCAGTGCTTCCAACAAAGTAAGCCGAAAGGGAGACTGATCATGTAATGATTGTCTCCAAACCTTAGAGGCTTCTAAGGCAGCACCTTTGTCTGAAGACCATAGCTCTCAGACCGCCGCCATTATGGAGGACTGTTCTATAAGCTAGGCTGACTCTCAACTGTTTAAGGATTTATAGTAATAACAAGCACACTGAATTTGATCTGGAAATCAGTTGGGAGCCAATGCAGCTTCGGCAGAGTAAATAAAATATGTTCTCACCAAGATGTACCTGAGAAGAGTCTTGCTGCTGCATTTTGAACCTGCTGTAATTTCCCAATCTCTTTTAAGACATCCCCATGCGACACTTTACTATAATTGTAATGGCAAATCACTAGAGCAAATATCACAGTTGCCAGATCAGGCAGCTTCAGGAACACTCCAACCACATAAAACAAGAAGCATTTCCAAAGTGGTGAGGTTTCCTGGATCTAAAAAGAAAGGGGTTGAAAAAGTATACTTTCACCTTGATATCAAGACGTACTCTTTTTCAGGAAAGGAGAAGTATATGGAAAAGGCTAGATATTTAAGTAAACCCCAAAATATTTCTTCGGAAGGAAGGGAGGAAGAGTTTTTGAGATACAATTTAAAATTGTAACAACTTAATCTTAGTTTAAGCTTGTCTTGGAAACTGTCATCCATGCAATTGGTACTGCTATAATTGTTGTGTGAAATATGTTTTAAATATATTACCCTATATATTGCTCCATCATTGAATATCAACTATGCTTTTATATCCATAAAAGTGCAAGTCCCCCCCCTCTGGAAAATCTATGTTAACCGGGCCACTGCAATTTCACTGGTGTCAGAATGTAATCGTGTATAGCTTTCTCTACTGTTTTGATAGAATAAGTCTAAAAAAAAAAATCTCAATAGCAAAAAATGACAGTGCATAATTATTGTGTATTCCTTTCCAGCTCAGATAGGATAGCTATTGTTATAGTAACAGATAGCTTTTCATGGAGCAGGATTCCATCCTTCCACGACTGGTAAAATGAGGACCCAGATTGCAGGGGTGGGATTCAAATTTTGTAACAACCAGTTCTGTGAGCATGGCTAAGTGGACTTGGCTAAGTGGACATGATCATGTGACTGGGTAGGCATGGCTTCTTGTTTTGGCAGAAAGCCTCCCCCCATTTTGGGGCCTTCTGGGCCTCAGGGAAGCCTCCTGGGGGGTGTTTTTGCTCCCAGAAGGCTTCCCTGCGGCTCAGGAAGGAAAAAAATGGAGCATGGGGGGGACACGCAGCATCCCCCTGCACTCCATTTTGGGACCTTCTGGGCCTCAGGGAAGCCTCCTGGGCGAAGCAGTAAGTAAGCGAGGGGAATCCTGGCACAATTGATCATAGGAACAGCTGATCGTTGGGAGAGGAAAAAAAGAGAAATACTTTAAGGAGTGACCAGGTGGGGAAGAACGCAGTCAGCGATGTTGGGCATGCACGCAATGTTGCACATGCGTGATAAGGACTGACTGGGTGGGGAGGAGAGGGGCGGGGCCAGCCAGGGGCACAATTTTCCAGTTGTCCGAACTGTGCAGAATCATAACAACTGGTTCTATAGAACTGGTCCAAACTGGTAGAATCCCACCTCTGCCAGATTATTGGGGACAATATGCTGACTCTATAAACTGCTTAGAGAGGGCTGTAAAGCACTGTGAAGTGGTACATAATTCTAAGTGGTATTGCTATACAGGTAAAAATTTAAAATAGAACTAAAACTGGTTTATTGGTAAGATGTAAATTGAATAAAAATTGAACATGACACAATGTATATATAATTTCCAATTTACCTTGCATCTGATTGTGTAAAAAAAATTAACTGTATTCTTAATCCAGGAATCTTTGTCATTCATTTCAAGATAATATGCTAATATAATTTGTACATACTGGAGAAATAATACATTTGACATTTTTCAATTATATAAATCATCTCATAGTATATTATACTACTTAGTATAACACAATATATATTATTTTATTGCCTCAAGCTAAATCTTTTTGTGCCTAACAAATAACTAGTGCTACAGTGATTTTAAAGTAGATTGTTGATGTCCCCCTTCCCCCACGCACCCCCAAATACTGATACTATACTTAACTTGCCAAAATTCAACCTGATGCTAGATGGAAAGAAATAATTAGCGTTCCATATATCTTTGTGCTACTGATTGGTTTCTGAATTTTTGCTGCCCTTACATGTTAGGTACTGGAATATTAACACCTAAATCAGACAAAGATGCTAAATAAAAGAGTATTAGATCCTGTTGATTCCGAAAATAGTTTGATTTTTTTTTTACTTTGCTAGTCTTGCAAATAAAATAAAATTCAAATAAATATGTGAACTGTCATACTTTAGATAAAATTATATAAACAAAATTTGGATTAACGATCTTTATCCAAAATACAATGCTAGACTTCAAGCTGTAAGAAGAAAACCTCATATATCACGTTTAGTTTAGAAAAAAATATGTTTTGCTTTTCTATTCAGTGAATACAAAGTCTAGTTTACTATGACTTCATATTCCAGATGGAAGCTTCACAGATGCTACAAATGTAGCCTCTAATTTATTCCATTAAATATGTGGCTTACCAAAAAGTAAAAATAAACATAAAAGTACTACATGAATTTTATCTTTAATTAAATTAATTATTAGAAAATATTGTACTGTTAAATGGTTTTAAAAAACACAAAGATTTTAGCCAGAAACTTGGAATAAATCATACCAAGTTCTTTTCTTTTAATAAAGCCATAAAAGGATTTTCAAATATCCATTTTTAAGCTTTCCCAAGAGATCTGTACAGTACAGATTTATTTTTCTCTAATATAAATAGTATACATCTATCCAAGGTTTTCCTCTTAGAAAAATAAAGCAAACGGAAGCTAGAGAAAGAACAGAGCGAAGGTATAATGTACATATATCATCTAAAATGAGGAACTAAATAAAACTGCTTCAAGCATACATCTTGATTTCTTCTTTTGTGAAAGACAGAAAGCTTTGATTGTGGTATTCTATGTCTGAAACAGTCATTTAGGAAACGTCTCTTTAGTTGGCTTATTTGTGAGTCTGCATGCACTTTGCTTATATCTAAAAAACTTCAGCTCCTGAACCCAAGTGTGGTTACAACTCAATCAGTTAGTCCAGTTTTCACACCTGTTGCCTTACCTCACTTAGTGGTGTCTGCACTTGTATAAATCCAGGGCCAGCCTCTGCCTTGACTTGTTGTTGCCTTTATGGAGTAAAGATTCAGGAAAAGAAAAGGCTGCACCTGCTACATAGCAGTGAACTGACAAGGTCTGAGAAGCTGAAACAGCTGTCAGGACAACATGCTGCTACCTGAACTTCTCATAGGCTTTTTACGCCCTCAGGACCACCCTTTTCTGTTTTCCGTCCCAATTCCACTGTCCCTTCCCTTCCCTGCAATGAAAGATTACAGCATTGTCATGCTTCCTGAGCACCCCCCCCCCTTTTTCAGGAACCGTATTAAAGTAGCCAATTGTCTGGAGGCCAAGATGTTTAATTCATTAGTCCTGCCAAACCTAAAATACAAACTGACTTGCTTCATGGGACTGGAATGTTTTCAGCATGACCCAATCAGTGTCTGTGTCTATTCCAGCAAACTGGAAAAGATAGCCTGACTCCAGTCAGCAAAAATGTCTGCTGCTCCTATCAGCCTGGGATGAGGTTGCCAATTTGAACAAGCAGCAAGTAAACTCACTGCTACAGTCAAGCCAAGCAACAGGACTAGCCGTTTTCTTGACAACTCTTGGAGATGTCAAGCAATACTGTACTGTCCAGTAAATTAGAACGTAGACTTTATAGCACTAAAGAAGACAGTAAGTGGATATTAGAACCTTGATTGTCCTAAGCATATTCACCTAGGGCAATCAAACCTGGGATGCCCAAATCAGATTTACATCTACACAGAGAAGAGAATTAGAGTGTTCTATTTATCTCTGCTGTTGTCTATTGGTTGCCAGGATTTTGCAGTCCAATTACAGTAGCCCCCATTTGCAGATGTTTTGGAATAACATTAAGCTTGGTTTTGAAGGGAAGTTATACACTGTATTTCCCTAAAATATACTGCTTATAGGTAATTGTTTTGCTTAGGAATGTTAGAACTATTGAAAATGTAGTCAAGTGATTTGGAGATAGATGGATAGATAGATATTTCTGCTTTCAAAAACAGTATTCAAATTTGAATAACAAAAGTCCCATATTTCCTGATAAATTCTGAAACATTCAGGACAATGTCTATTATTGAGAAGTTGCTTCTTTTAATAATTTCATTTTAATTTTGCTATCTAATGATCTTGTATTTTAGCCCACATTTTCTTTCCTTATAGTTCTAACACTAATTCTATAATTCTTGATCCAATTGTTCAATTATTTTGGGAATTGGTTTATAAGTATTATAACAAAAAATTAAGTTGCTGGAAACTGGGAGAACTGCCTTAGGCAAAAAAGCCAGTTGGATGACCTTGGGCCAGTCACTTTCTCTTATCCCTGGGAAGGAAGCAATGGGGAGCCACTTCTGAAAAACCTTCCCAAGAAAACTGTGGAGACTTCTTTGGGCAGACCCTGAGAACTGAATATGATTGAAAAGAAAAAAAATGTCTGTGTTTTAAAAAGCTACATATTTGTTGTAGTTTATATACTGATTTGCATTTTCTTTTCATTCATCTCAGCAACAGGCATCAGTTTCTCTATGAAGATGCTAAACTGGAAATAAACTGACGTGTGTGATTCTTATATCCAAGTGGAAGATTGCTTTGAAAAAGGTGAAATTAGTTTATTTGGATCTTAAAATAAGATTAATATAACATACATTTTTGGTATGGATATACTAGACTTTTCAGGAAATTATTAATAACATAGTTGCAATTGCTCTGTTAATGGAGAGGCAATCAGGATTTGGAATGTTAATGTATTGCTCTTGTTCTATTGTTAATGTATTGTTAATGACTTGTTCTATTATTACTTTTGAGATAGAAATCTACATTATATAATTAGTTGCTATATGTGTCCTTTGTCAACATTTGCAGTAGTATTTTTTCTTCAACAAAAGAGTAAAGAAGACTTTTGAATAATTTGAGCAATTGTGAATGTTCAACAATAGAAGTTTTAAAAGTTTTTTTAAAGGTTATTTTTTTAAAAACTAAATGAATATAGTAAATGTAATTACATGAGAATCTCTTCTGCTATGGGAAAGAGAGAAAAGTTGCAAATTCGTACTTTTTTCCCATTAGGCATAAGGATGGGAATGTTCTGTTTCTTGCTGAAGCACTGTAGTCATTCAATATTTAGTATCCAAGCAAAATTATTTCAATCGTGGCTTGGATTATGAAACTTATCTCACTAATATACAACATATCATGTTTTGGTCATCACACATTCCAATGTTATCATTCCCTGAATTAGAAACATTACAACTTATTTACACACTAGAGTTAGAACAAGCTTGTAACTTTATTCATTTATTAACTTAGCCTGAAAAAATTAATAACTGGAATATACAGTATAAATAAAAAGAAGTATCTTACATTTAAGAAACACCTGTTTTCCTTTGATTTAACTGCCCTGCTTTTACCTCATTAGTATTGGCAGCATTTTGGTAAGGCAGATGATCTCATTGACATTAAAATGATGTTTGATGTGTTAGCCTAAAAATGAGCTTTAAAAATACTCTAAACACAGATAGAGAAAAATACTGTGAGACTAGTTACCATGCATGCAAAGAAAAATGGTATTTTGATCCAAGGGAGAGCATAGTGATGCAGCAGGGTCTATTTTGAACTCATGGACAAAAAACTATTGCTATCATATACTAACATAAACAATACATGGAAGCCTGAAAATAATACATGGAAGCCTGTATTTCCCACAAATTGCTGTTGTCCACATTTGTTAGATACTAATTGCCATCAGCTTTGCTTAGCATATAGATCAAGGGTGTCAAACTCGATTTCGTTGAGGGCTGCATCAGGGTTGTGTTTGACCTTGCGAGACTGGGAGGTATGGCCAGGGTGGGTGTGTTTGGCTCCAATCACTCATCGATGCTCCATTTTTGTCTGCGACGGCCTCCTGCAGCCCTCTGCAAATGAAAATGGAGCTCTGGGAGTATACGGCCTCCCCGAGCTCCATTTTTTCTGGCAGAAGGTTGCAAGAGGCTGTGGCAGATGAAAACGGAATCTAGGTGGGCCACACATGGACCTCCCAAGCTTCATTTTCGCTGGCAGTGGCACCAGAGGCTGATCCTTCACTGTTTTCAGGGCAGACCCGTGGGCCAGATCTAAGCACACTGTGGGCCGGATCCAGTCTGCAGGCCTTGAGTTTGACACCCCTGATGTAGATGATCAGGTTTATAGTTCTACATATCTTGAAGAAACATAAAATTGGTAAAAACTTTGCTGTAAAGTATCTCTCAGTTAGAAATATGCATGTACACTGAAACTGAAAAGCTCTATTTACTGAAAAAATATTGTTACAAAGAATTAAGTTTTGAGTATGGATGGAGAAGAAAATAATTCATAGTTGTTCCATAATACAGGACAAGAAATGAGGAATTTCAGTTAAAAAAAAGTCAAGGTCAGTTAAACATCTGTTAAAAAAAATTCTAACAGTCTTGGGAGAAAGTGGGCTTTCCTTTGATGATGCTGTTTAAACAGAGGCTGAATGGCCATCCTACTGGATTCATACCCTGGGCAATGAGGTTTTTTTTATTTTGTTACCAATTTATGTAGTTATCTATTTCACAATCAGAAGTCTGGGAAGTGAACACAAGCTTAAACATGAGCAATACAACATAATAAATAATAATTAACAATAACAAAATAATAGCACAATGATGACTGAACTAAATGCTGTTGTTTAGATTAAAATCATATGTGACTTGTGTATCTCATGGCAAGTACACGAATGCAGAGAATGGAAGTAATTTATTATCATCCAAAAATATGGATGTTTCCAATTTGAACTCATTCTTTGTGAAACTGAAATCAACAGGAATTTCAACATAGCAGCAACTTAGTAACCAAACTTTGGTGTCTGTCATGAATATGAGGCTATCCCTCAAAATAGTTTGAAGGACACTGCCTGAGAATGTTACATCAAGTTTACATTGCTGGAAAGTCAGCAGGGTCTCCTATCCTTTGACACTTTTCTGCACATATTTGCTATCACCTGTAACAGTTTCTTTAACACTACCAGATAAATAAGACACCAGAGAGAATCCTTCATAATCATTCTGCTTTCCAATACTGCCACCAAGAGAACATAATTAATATGTTCTTGATATAAAAAGATAACAGAAAGCTGGTTATTTTTTGCATTAAACCTGAATAACTTTAAAAAAAATACATGGGTCTTATTTATAAAGATCAAATATTGCTTATAAATTAATAGTAGACATATATACACAAATTAAAATACTAAAACGCCTCTGTAACCTTTCAAAACCAGGTTTTTCCAGAATAGCCTAGAATAGGGATCCCCAACCACTGGTCCGTGGACTGTCATCAGTCCACGGCATGCCATCAAGTGGGCCATGCAAACATGCCCCTTCCTGCCTGTAGAAAAACATGTAACTGGTCCTTGGTGCCTAAAAGTTGGATATTGTTAATATTAACATGTTAATATTGCCAAGCAATATTGTTTATCAAGTATTTCACTCAATTGAAATTAATGTTTGCAGGTACAGTGAGTTATCCTGGCCTTCCTTTTTTCAGCTTGCACCCACAAATCTTTGAGTCTCTTGGAACAAGAAGAAAAGGAGAGAAACGGGATAAGAAAAAAAATATATTTTGTCAGTGGTGCCTAGCTGACAATCACAGTTGGCTAAACACATTCACTAAACAGAAAGCATATATGAAAAAGTTAGGTAGGAAAAGAGCTACTCCTTCTCTTTTTAGTGTTTGCTTTTTTTCAGTCCTCTATCTGTTCTCAAGTATGCTTCCCTGCTTTCCTAGTCTGTAATTCTCACTTCTGGATATACTGAGATGTTCAGGGCAAACGATGCGAACTGGAATTGGGATCACAATGCAAAGTCTGCCTCTTATATACAATGGGTTGCATTTGTCCCCTGAATATGTCCTATTTACCCTTTACATATCAGCAGGATGTTGTCTTCATCTGTGGCCAACCAATTGTGGAGGCACTTTGAAATAAGTCCTGCCTTATAACATATGTATAATGGCTCACTGCACACTACATTGCACTTGAAATTGAACTTTTTCAGAGGCTTGTTATTTGTAATGAAAACTACTATTTTAATGCTAAATAGTTCAAATACCCAGAAATGTTTCAAGGGATACTCCACAGAGACTTTCAAAGAGTGTTAAATTGTAATTTTATGAGGCTAACATGCTGTATTAGCAACATACACTCGATTCCCAACTTTTAAAACATGTTTTTTTGTTTGTGTGATATATTAGCATAATATTTCACTTGGTTCTAGTATTTATTATAT